TAGTTGCCTGTAAATTTCTGGAAAATAACATTTTCATGCGCACGCACTAGCATGTGTGTCTGACGGTTTCATGGGGATCAGACTTGCTCCTTGGTATGGAGGGAAGGAGAATGCAGTGCTGGTAAAGGCAGCAGCCCATCTTCTGTTATTACCTATCATTCAGCCCAGCACAAGATCCTGAAGATGCCAAGGGTCTTCTGAAGCTTTCCTTTAAACTGAAGAACACATCTGACTTTAAATAAAACTGTCTATGTGAGACCTAGCATCAAATAAAGGCTAAAACTATTTGAGAATAAAAATGTCAATATATTGATAATATATTTAAAATTTTATCTCAGTAAACTTTACCATGAAATTTTGGCACCAGGATTGCTGGCACTCAGTTATATTCCCATGCTGGCACAGGAGGGAATTAGTAACGGTGGATTTACACCTGACTTTGATATTTTGCAGTTAGTTTTTCATGTCCTGCTACCACCTGTAACGTTAACAATTGCAACCAGAGTGCAGACAGGAGTGCAACCCAGGCACCTCACAGAGCAAGGAAAATATATGGACATTTGAAACCTTACTAAGCCATAGTGTATGTTAATGCATAGGTAAATGTGTCAGACAGAACAAAGGCATCCCAGCACCCATCTCTCTGCTTAAATACTTGTCCATTCAAGGTGTGAGGACAGAACCCTAATGTATAAACTGAGGCTACAGATGAGATGTAAAGCAAGAAATAATAATCAGCTTGTGTTGAGATGACTCAAGAGGGACAGCTGAGTCTCTGTTGCTTTCATCTTGTCTGACTTCTTCTTGCAGTTACCTGGTACCTGTACTTGCTGAACTGAGGTACTATGGCCAATTTTGATCTACTACTATGCAAGAAAGGAGTCTACACTTAAAAGACTGCAAAATACACATCTAAGTTTCCAGCTCCCCACTAGCTTGCATTGCTTTCAAGTATTTGTGAAAGCACTAGACAAAATTACCAAGGATAACCTACAAAGGGAGTCAGTAAAGAGCAGCTGTAAAAAAGAGAAGGCAGGAATAAAAAAAATCAGGAAAATAAAAAAGAGAGTATTTGCCTTCCAGTATTTTCCAGTTTTGCACATCACAACATAAACCATTTTAAAACAGCAGAGTGGAAGGGTTTTGTTCTCCAGGGGTGTCTCCCGAAAAGAGGGAAATAGATGGATGTCTGAAAACTGAATGAGCTTCTGGAAGGAAGTGGTAGTACGTCCTGCTTTCTACCAATCCAAAGCAAGCAAGAGTCAGTAAGATTCAAGGAATTTTTTTCTTCTTAGTCAAAACGTTTATCTAACTACTAATGTAACTATAAAGAATAAATTAAATGTCCACAGTAAAAGAAAACGTTTACACATGTTGTCTGATTTTTCTGTTATTCATGAAAACTGGAACATATCTTATAACCATGTTATACAAAGATTTAGCAGAAACAAATAATTACTGGTTAACTGGAATTCAGATTTAGCACTAAGATCAAAGACTGAATTTTATTCACCTGGTTCCTGACATCCCAGTTGAAGTCATCCTATTTCAAAATTTGCTGAGCAACTTCAGATTTTACCAAGTCAGTGGACTCCAATTTTAGATATTCTGCACTCAAGTAGGCAAGTGCTTGGTTGCATGTGAGCAGTCTAAATTACTTGAAAGGAGCTCCTCATATAAATAAAGTAATAAAATAATAAAGTAATAAAAAACCCCTGACTATTCACTGGATCAGAGTACAGGTTTCAGAAGCTTTGACTCAACTTTTTCATTCCTCTCCCTGGCTCCTGAAATTAATGATTAAATAAGAAAAAGGAAAAATGGATAGCTTAGTTTAACTCCTAAGAACTTTTTATTCCATTTGAGTGAATCAATACAATCCTTTGTGAAACGGAAGCAACAATTAACATTGCACGTTTTTATGTGCCATCTATTCTAATGCAACAATAGAGAAGTTTATCAAATTTTTCTGCATTGCATTAGTCAAGTTAACACTCATTTACCCTGTGACTGATGTTTCTTCAAAAATCTCACAGTGAATGTAGTGAGTATATCTGATATTTCATACACGTATTTTATCTCTCTACTGCTATCTCATTTGGCATTCTAGCCTACATTAGTTGAAGTAAACAGCAATCTTGACATTAGCTTCAAAAGCAATGGTACTAATAGTAAAGGACATTAACAGTATAAAAGTGAAACATTTCTTTGCACATACCTCAAGCCCACTAGAAGCATTTTGTTAGTACCAGCACACATGCAAGAGATCACTGGAAAGTCATCTTGTAGACTAACAAGTAGAATGCAAAACTTTGGATATGGAGGACTTGTTGACCGTTCCTTTAGGTCTTACTTTCTTCGTCCTATTGGAAACTACAGGGATACCTGCCTACACTTTTACCAGTACAATTTTGTCAACATCTGAGTGCAAAATCTGCTTCAGGGCATGTTTTTGTATCTTGAAACAAATACACCTTCTTACTGTTATTTAGACTAATTACAAAAGTAAAATTCAGGTACAAGTCTTGGAAGCCTTATAAGAACATTTCTTTCCTAACATCTGGCTTAAGAAGAATGGAAGTACAGCAGCTGAGGATATTAAATGCAAGAAGTAAGATCACTGACTGCACAGTTGATGTGGGGAAAAAACAACAACAACCACCAAATCAGAGAGGACAGGTTCAGAAAAAAAATAAAATAATCAGACATGGTAGGACAGCATGTTTAGCCTAGGACTGACTAATCAGTTTTCTGTGAGGATTGTATCTAATTAACATTTAATTACCCACTGTGGCCAAAACTGTGCACTGCATGTAAATCTAGCACCTAGGAACTGCAGGTGAGCATGTTCCATGCTGCCCTATGCTGCGGGCTCACTGTGCCAGTCTTTGAGTGGCAGAGTTACCTTTGGAAATGCTGAGCTGATAGCAGATGACCTTGGTATGATTCCTGGCCCCTGTAGAAAACCTGCAGCTGGTGGTGACAGCTTTCAGCAGCCCAGCTGCAGGTACTGCAGTGTGATGCTGCCCCACTCAGCCCTGGCCCCTGGCACCATGCACTGGGGCTGCACACAGGCAACCACATGCAGGATGTGGCTCCACCACTTTTTTCCCTCCTTCTCTAGAAGGTATGCAGTTATGCTGGCCTTGTTTCTGATGAGGGTTTCTAGACAGCAGAGTGTTGAGGTACCTCAGATAACAGCCACATTAAGAATGTTAGCATTGCAACAGGCAGCCTGTCTCAGCAATCACCTCTGTAACCCACCAGTGTCTCTTTTTCTCCTGAAAAGAGCAGAGCCTGTGCCAAAAGCAACTGGCCCAGTCCTCTCAAATGTCTGCTGTGCTGGCCCACTGCAAAGCCTCAGGTCTGTGTCTGGAGGCATTCCTCTCTCCTGTGCTGCTTTGTGTTTTAGTTTGTTCTTCAGTGGTGTTCCTGTCTAGCTAGTTGTAAACAAGATTGGTGTTACCCGCTTTTGTAAAAATAATAATTAAAAAATAATATATATGCTTTCCATCTTTCTGTCTGTTTTTTGCCTCAGGACAACAGGAAAAGAGAAATTACTTCTCAAGACCACCAATACCTACAAAAAACTTGGAAATGTTATCAGTGGTCTCTGCACAATCTAGGATACAGTCAAGGCAGTAAACCAAGACCATGAACATAAACCATCACTCTCAGTAGATGTCTGATTGCTACTAGACTCACTGGACCAAATATTTGTGCTGTTATATCCAGAGAAAGACCTGCTTTCTACTAAGATACACTGATGTTCTGTGGAAAACAATACAATTCAACTTGTCTACATCTGAAAGTCAGAAACTGAAAGAGACAATTTGTAGAACATTATAAAAAGGGAAAATGAGCAAAGAAAGGAAGAATGCAATTGAGAATAAAATTCTAGGAGGGTCTTGTCAGCCAGAGCCATAATATGAAGCACAGATAAAATAAGCAGTAACTACAGATAATGATGTGACTGCAGATCCTGTAGCAAACATCACAGCACTGTGGACTTCTCTCCCCAGGTGATGTTTTACCTACTCTGAAGGCCTCTGTTAAGTGACCTGTAGAAGACATCTGTGGGGTCATTTCAGAGGAGAAGAATCTCCTCTGAAGAGACAAGTGATATATAGCAGCCAAGGCTTTATTTTTATCAATGCCTTGTTAAGCCAGCTGTAAATGTTCACCCTTTTAATCACACACTCATTAGGACCCATATGTATTTAATCAAGACTACAACTCTGAAGGTGGTCTAAATCCATCTACAGGTAGCAGTGTATGTTTTAGCATATAGCACCTTGCATTTTGACATTCAGGTGATTGTGTTTATGCTGAGGTAAAATCCAGATTTCTAGTACTAAACTTTAAATGCAAGTAGTCACTTCCTAGTTATGTCATCAGTTTAATTACATTTAGCAAGCTGTCTGTTAGGAAAAACAAACAGCCAAATCCCAAAAACCCCTCAAAACCCAAACAAACCAACCACAAAAACCCCCCAAACCAGGCTGAAAACAGTTTAATTCAAATACAGTTCAGATCACCTAGCCACCTGCATTACCACTGGGCATGGTGAATGTTGTGATCTCATGATGCTTCCCATCACCATCCAGAAGAGAGCTGCCAAAACAGGAATGTTGTTTCATGCATAGGTAGCAGAAACATTCAGCAGCTGCCTCTGCTCTTGCTCAGTCATTTTTCCTTCTGTTAGCACCTCCATCTGTGGTTACAAATCAGGGCCACACAAAGCAGGTGGCCAACTCAACTGATGCCACTTGATCATGCTGCCAGATCTGCTGCTCATTTCCTGCAACACAGTCTGAAAGAAAGCCTGTTTCCATGCCTGAGCTGGTCTGCACAAAGATAAGTCTGAAGGCTGCCTAGTGACTACTGTATAAACATACAAAAAGTCTGATGATCTAACCTACAAGGCTTTGGTTATTTGGTATAATTAAGTGGAGAAGACGCCAAGAAAATAATTACCGGAAAGTTTTATTTTGACAAAGTTATGATAGAAATTTCTCAACAGCTTCCAGGAACTCCATGGATGAACTGAGTCCTTCCAAGTCCAGCAGATTGCCCTTTTTGTCATGGAAGAGGAATAATTCGGTCTCTTCCTCTTCCGGTTCCTCTTGAAATAAATTGGACTCTGAGGTAGGAATGATGACAATGCGAGGGACTGTATTAGGAATGATAGAGCCCAGGACTCCATTAGTCTGATTTTCGTGAGTTGCCATGTGTGAAGTACCTGAGTCTCCTCCTCTGCTGACACTGCTGCTATTCAAACCGATGGGCAGAGAAGCTGCTCTGAGGGAGCTGGCCACGAGTGTTGCAGGGGGACTGCAGAGGAGTGGCTGCCCAAGTGCTTTCGCCAGACAGCTGGAGGAGAGCAAAACCTGGAGAGGAGACATAAGCTTTAGTGCTGTCATACGGCCTGTGACTATAGAAACCAGACTTCATTACCACTAGTCGCTATTGAAGTCACTACTCATTTTCTGACACTTGAATCATTGACTAGAAAGAGGGAAAAACATTGTATTAATTTCTACAGCTTGGGAAGAAGGATGTTAAAAGAAGTAAAAGAGGACAAGCCCAAATATTAGCAGAGACTGAAAAGAAAAGAAAAGAAAAAAAAAAAAAAAAAAAAAAAAAAAAAAAAAAGGTCAATACCTGTACCTGGCTTATTATACATTAAAACCCCCCCAAAACCTGTTGTTAATGCATCTCAAGGTACTGCATAACTGTACTTCTCTCTCTTGCTCTCATGGAAGAGATCCCAGACTCAAGCACACTGTATTCTTTATATGCCAAAAGTTTCTTCATCCTTGTGACAACATCTACCATGGTGTTTCCAGTGACTGCTGGCACTGCCTTGGGGCAGTCAGTGGCTTTGCATTCATACATTGGACTTCCACCATCAAAGAAGGGAAAAACAGTGCCTGTGATTTTGCTTTGCTAACCATTTCCCATCTGCCTACTTTGAGAGAATTCCAATTTCTAACTTTGCCCTGATGGCAACTCCCCTGTGATCTTTCCATAGCTCTTAATGCATAATGGGCAAATCCAGCATATACACATTTTGAAAGTGTTAGTTAATATTTAAATACACTGGACGCAGAAGGCAAGAGTGATCAGTTTTGGCTTGCTTTAGAAAAGGACAGCTCAGTTTATAAAATCACTGTGTCAGAGGTAAAGAGAAGCTAGAATTCCATCCTTCCTGGGTAAAATAAATACTACAGTAAAATGCAGTTTTTAACTTCATTACTATGTCAGTTCCCCTGAAGACTAGTGGAATTCAGAGTACAACAAAGGACCGTCACACCATACAGGCATCTTTGCATATTAAGAAAATCAAATAAGGCTTTAAACATTCAATGTAAATAAACTTCAAACATCTTGGTGAACACCATTGAAAGCCTGAGCATGAAGGTACTCTGTTTAAAGGTTATTTCTCAAGATATCCAACAGATGTCTTTCAAAGACAACCTATAGCACCTGAACTTTCTTCTGGGCTGTGCAGTTGCTAAATTTCAGAATACAGGAATATTTATTTAATTACTGAACACCTTTACGCAGACCACCTCGAATATATTTTCTTTCTCCTTCCGTGTGAGACGGTGGTTCTCCATAACCTGGAGACCAGCTCTTTTCTTTACCACTTGCCTACAACCTCAGACAGACTCAGGTACTGATGGAGGACAGCAGAGGGCTATAGTAGATTTGAGCTTATGTTGCCTGCCACCACATTCAAAGCCATTGTTTTTCCATCAATAATATTCACAGTGGTTACAGAAAAAGACTAGAGTCTCTCAGGACTTGATCTTAAGGAGACACATGAAAGAAGACAGGGCAGATGCATGCAGGAACTGAGTCATCGGATGGATAGAAATTTTTAGAAGAGCTCCTGCTTTAAACTACACTGTCTCTAGACAGTTAACCTCAGAGCTGGAAAGGAGCACGAGGGACAGAAGCAGATCCTGTAGCTGCTCAAGGTTACTAGAGCAAACCCATGAAAGGATGCCTGTATAAAAAATGGGTTCTACTCAGTCCAGCCACAGACAGGAGATTGTAAGTCTAAGTCTGTCTTTTCCTGAAACTGCAGCACTTGATAGATAGATGCTTGGCATCATGCCACACACACAAATACTCATTTTGAAACTGTTGTTATGGTTCTGACAGAAGCTAAGTGGCAGGTGATCTACTGCTCCCATCCTCAGCAGTTCCTTAGGGAATGGTGTGATCTTCAACAGCACGATGCCAAACCTCAGCAGTTTGGTCAACAATGGTGATGCATCCACAGAAGATGTGCTGAGTACTCACCGTCGCCTCTTTCACTGAGGGAAGGGTGGCACCTGCCAGACTCTCCCACCCTTAGGGAGAAATGGGAGTTTCTTTCTCATCTTCCCCCTCAACAAAAATAAAACATTTTAACATAGACACACACCAAAAAAGAAAAAAAAAAAAAAAAAAAAAAAAAAAAAGAGGCTGCCACAATGTATACACAGGGGTTGGGCCGGGAGGAGCCAAAGTCACAAAGTAACAGCAAAGATGAAGAGGAGATGAGAATCTGTATAAATAAAGCCTACAGGTGAAAGAGATGGGTATAAAGGCTGAAACATTATTCCAGAGATAATGCACTGTAGCAAGATTAAAATAAGTCACCAGCAGAGACTATTTTCCTTACCTTTTCTCCAGTTGCCGCATTGCAGCTGCAGGTCTTTGGCAGCAGGTCTCTCTTCTCCTGTCTCAGACTTGTCGAGAGGGAACGACTTCGACGAGGCTGTAGTTTCTTATGAGCTGGCTCTACAGGGTCAAGATCTACATCGTTGCAGGTCTAATCACAAATTATGAAGGATTTCAGACAGTTGTGTTGTTTCTCAGATTCCAAAAGTTCTCAAGATCTAGCAGGAATCAGGAACACTTACAGACAACTAAAGCTGTTCAAACACAGGTGTCACACTCAAAACTGCCCTGGGGAAAGGCTTGATTTTTAATCTTGTCACTTATCCTGGGCTATTTTTCTGAACCAAAAAAAAAATTATTCTGTGTGACTATCAGCTGGTACATAATCATGGACAAAAACCACATTTGTATACATCCCAACTAGATACTAGAACACTCAGAACTTCTCAAGTCCCATAAGCTTGCTTATTTTCTGAACCATCATCAGTGGATAGGAGGCAACAGGTGGGTTCTGCACTGATTTTCTAAGGGCATGCCAGCAACGGAGCACAATCGTGACATTGCAACCATGCTGTTCCAATTACAGGCTTGGGCAGAGGCCATCCATCATCCCTAACTTTGTGGTGACTCTTTAATTGAGTATTAATGATGACATCATTCCATTATTTTCCACACCAGCTTTTAGATATGAATAGTAGATAGATAGGGCTCTATACAGCTAGTGCATAATTCCATTGCATCACCTTGCTCACACATTAATGTATTGCCATCTGTTTATTTCTCCTCCCTTGTAGAATCAAACTGTAAAGACAAATTTATGTGACTCAGGAACATGGTGTGTCCTTGCACTAACACGTAGATAACACACAGAGGAAAGTGTTGGTGGCAACAGCTGCATCTTCTACAGTGCTGCTGGTGTCATTCCTGCCCATCAATACTTTATTGGAGCATACCAAAATTTCACTCAGTGCTGCTGTCATCCAAGAGTTGAGCTTAGCATTTATTTCAGCAGCTGCTGTTTCAGCTAAAATCTGTACAGCTGCACTGAGCTGTCAGTTGCCCAAAGAACAATTACCTTTGGCTGCATCAACTCAGCACAACATGGGGCTGCACATTGCTAGCAGCAGGTGTTCTACTTGAGACTCCAAAGCTAAAGTTGTGCCAAAGGCTGAAGCCTCTTATCCACATTATCCTGTCTCTTTTTAAACACCAACCACAAGCAAACAGACACAATAACCTGCTAACCCAAATGAATCAAAAGCAAGTAGTGACCAACAGTGAAGAGCAGAAAGCATCTTGGGTAAGGATGGTGATACAGCTGAAATTACCTCGTTTGACATCAAACAAAGGACAAAGAGGACAAAGTTTAGGAATAAAGTGTAGAGCAAGGAAAATTAAAAGTGGCAAAAAAGGCTGGAAATAAATAAATAAGGTGCCTTGCTGTCTTGAAGTATGTCTACATATTTCCATGTCACTACACATGCCACTTGCAAGCAGTGAATGAAGGACAATTGTAGGCAGACGAGTAGTCCCCATGATCTCAGGGGGATATAGATATGTGCGGGTGCTCTCTTTGCTCAAGCTGTTAAGCAATCTCAAACAAAATACCTTCTTTTCATAATGATAGGATATTGGCATGTTGCATATACTAACCTCATATTGCAAGGATAATCTGGCTATTTTGCAGTTCATTAAATCATCACAGTTGATACTCTCCTGTATTGTGCAATCAGTGGTCTGTGAATGAATCAAATCAGCAGGATAGATTATCTCATTCCCGTTTACATTCCAACAGAAATATTTATGCATTTAGTTGTATCTTCAAGAACCTGTACAAGCATCAAACAGATAAACATGAAAATGCTCCCCAGGGCCTGAAGACTTTGAGAGCCTAGGCAGGCAAAGTTGGGGATCCTCATGCTGTTTGGCATGGTACAGTAACATCATACTTCAAAATGCTTCAGAATCACTTGGGCTCAAATCTGAACAACAGTATGCTAAAAAAGGCTTTTCCCAAACTGAGGGGCTTTTCACTCTTCTATTTATTAATAAAAAATAATAATTATGGTGGCAATATTTTATGAAACATTATAGAAAAGGCTTGTCACTTCTAGACAGGCCTCTCCTGAGAAGTAGTTTGCCCACTGCATGGTATTTAAACACCTTCTAATTTTGAATGATAAAATGCAACCCTTTTAAGAGATTTCATGAGCTTTAATTATCATCATTATTACCTGCCTGTAATACAGTAACCTGTAGGCTGTTTTCTGAGAGCTGGGAATGCTGCTGGGATGTGATACACAGTCACATAGAAGAGTTCACTGAGTCCCTAAAGAGTTCACAGTTTCATGAGCTGTAAGGCTGAGGCCACCCAGTAAAGCACAGTTAGTAATTTTAACTGGTAGCCTAGCTGATGCAGATGTATAGTTACTGTGCAAGAGAGGCAGCAGCAGGGACTGCAAAGTAACCTGTCTTTTGTAATGGGATTGATTTTTTTTCATTAGGGCTCAGGCACTGAGCCTTCTCCTCAGGCACTTAATAGTGGTGTTTTTACTCTGCTTTTTAAAATTACTATTTCACCTCCAGAAGGCCTGAATATTTTGTCAGGACCCAGGACATGGTGCTAGACCTTGGCAGGGACTGTTTGTTTTTTTGCTCAAGTGTGTTTGCTTTATTGTCTGTCTACCATAAAGGAGTTCAGAAAGTTTCCTGGTGCTGTTACCTGATAGGAATGACTTTCACTCTTGCAAAATTACTTTCTTTAAGACTAGTCCACTGTTTATGTTGGTTTTCTTGGTGGTCCTAGGTCTATTTCCAAATCAGGAACCCCAGTCTTACAAAAAATACTCAATGTAGTTACTATCTCACTAAAATTCAGTCCCATGGCCTGACTCTCAGTGGGTTGCTGTAGCAACCCACAGGCTACAGCATGAAGATATCCAAGCCCCACCTTTGCTCAGGCCATTGTCACTTGGCTTAAGGGGAAGGCCAGGAGGTTGCCACTCAGTCTGTCACAGTGATTTATAACTTCATGAAAGGTTACCAACTGTAGCCATGGCTCTGCACGATGTTTTAGGAGGTTTCTTATGTCTGAGTGGAGCACCACAGGTCCCTAGGAGGGCCAGCCCCAGCTGCTGTCCCTCCCTGGGAAATGACTTCCCAGTGGGCAAGGTCAGCTGCTTGTGACTTGGAGAGGCAGGCAAGGTCATGCCAAGAGGCATGATGAAGAATCCCACGGGATCCTTTTATTTCCAACTCACTCAATCACCTGCTTTACTGAGACTTGGGGTACACTGCTTATAAAACATCCCACCTTGCTTCTGGGACAGGAGGTTTCCGTTCCTCATGAGTAAAATCCAGGGTAATAAATCAAAGTTTCCAATCCTAGAGAAAATGGACTTCCTTTAAAATAATAGGACAGCTTTTGGATACATTAGAAAACCTTGGATCGGAGATTGGTTTCCTGTTGTCCAGTCCCTGCAGATAGTGGATTATAGGAAGTGGCTGGCAACAAGGAGAGTGCCTGGCAATGGCTCTTTTTAATACATATTACAGACTTAACATGAACATCCATGGTCCCAGTAAGCATCTGAACCATGCAGAAAGCCCGGATGCTTTTTCAGATCAGAAATCATTGTGCACAGACTCCTAGAAAGGCTTTGCAGAAATGACCTCACGTAAGTAAAAAAATGTAGATGCCCTGCACCCCCTTCTTTTCCATTCTCTCATTTTGAATACTTATTTATAGAGTCACTTACTTTGGGAATCAGAGAAACATTATATTCACTTTCCTTCATGGAAACAAGAAAAGACTTACAGCTACTCCAGTGGAAACTGATGAAACACAAGTGCCTTGGGTCCTGCCAGCGAAAGACTGATGGCTGGAGAGTGAGGTCCTGAATGATGACTCATTTATGGATCCTCTCAGGACATCATTTCTTGATATTCGTATTAAGAACCTCAGGCAGGGAACAGCATTGTGGATGGTTTTTCTAAAGAAAAATGGGAGGGAAAAAACAACAAATGGCACATTGATGACAAGGCTTTAAAAATCATGTGGTGAAAGTACCATCTCTTTCCATAACCTCAGCATGGCTTCTGTTTTGATTGAGGAGGTCATAAAGACTACATGGAAACAGCATTGTATATCTAGTGGAAACTACTCAGCAGTCTGAAAGGAAAATAGCAGACGGCTTCTGGGCCTCAAGTCAGAACACATATGGAAGAGCTTCATGGATAAGTCATAAGAATTCAAAATACCTTGAAAAGTGTGACTACTTCTGATTTAATTAAAAGGTTAACCAAGAAAACTTTCAAGTTGGCTGCTATGAAGGTCTTCACTGTGCAAAGAACAGGACAAGTGGAAAAAAGAAAGGGGAAAGAGCCAGAAGAATTAGGTATTATAATTTATTTGTACCATGGCAGCTCCTGTAAACTCCTATTGGGAATTAACACTCTGTTCAAACACAGAGCAAGGCAATTATCTAGGCCTCAAAGAACTTACACCTGCCTTATTCATGAAATAATAACCTCAGTCCTGGTTGTATGAGTCTATTCATCCTGGCCCAAACACTGGCCCTTCATGGAGCAGAAAAGCCCAAGAGCCTCCCCAGTGCAATGCCAGCTGACCTTGCCCCTCACTGCGCCCAAGGAATGGTGGAGTGATGCTAGCCAGACTGTTGCATTTGGTGAATACCTCTCCAGTGCCTCCCAATCCATTATTTCAGCCCAACAGATTGAGCTGATACTGGCACTGGCTAATTCTTGAACAACTCAAGCAGCGAGGCAGCAACAAGGCATATGGAAAACAACAGATGTACAGGACTGGCAGATCAGTGGAGGATGTAAGTATATTGACTTTACTATGAAGTGCAAGTCAAGTGGATGTGTATGGTAAAATCCTGGCTTCTATAGTTACCAGGTTTGTTGACTAACTAATACCTTATAAATCAACATTGCTGTTCTCAGAAAAAATCACTCTTGGTCAAGTCTCAGAGACTTGATTCCTTGATTACAAGATGAGATCACTGGTTTGCCAGTCAAAAGCTCCAACCAAAACCAGAAACCCACCACCACCACACCCCAATATGTGGTATCATCACCACTGAGTACAGACGACTTCTCCATGTCTTCCCAGCTTCCAAGGCAACTGAACAAGCAGCTCTGTGTCTACAGTGAAGACAAGGACTGAAGAAAGCTTTCTGCCCACATTCCCGATTCTGCCAAGATGCCTCCTGGTGAGCTGGCAGAGACCCACTGAGCTGCTTGGGGGTGCAGGAGGCTGCCCACATGGTGCTGGATTAAAAAAAAATAACACACACAAAAAAACCCAAACAAAAAACCAACACCCCCCCCCCCCAACCACTGATGTTGTGCGAAACATAAAACTTTTTAAGAATCAGCAAGGTTTTACAGGAGAACAGAAAATGCCAAGCCCCCAGAAGATTCTTTTTGTGGTGAAGATCTCAAGCTGATGCTGAAAAAGCATCTGACAGCTTTTTTTTCTCCAGCTGAGCAGCTGAATCCCTTCCCTGAGACATAGACATAGCTTCTGATGTCTGCTACAGACTACCTGGGACTGTCAACTATTCAATAACTTCAAGGTGGTGTAAAATATACTATCCTGTTTACTAAGAGGGATTTCATGCAGAGACCTCATCACTCTAGAGGATCAAGAAATGTGTGTCTGATAGTGAATTTTCAAGGACAACATAAGAACATTCCTCATGTCTTGAGGGAGCAGAGTTTCAATTTTACGAGTATTTGGGAGAATTGTTGAGGGACATCTTGTGGACTTGGATGAAAGTACAGATCTTGAAGGGAGTTTCAATAGTGTAAATGTGAAATATAAAATAAGTAGAAATGGAGGTGCTAATTTAATTATATTTCTGTAATGCCCTGAAATAAGAGTTACCCAAAGTGAAATGTTTAGTAATTGCTTTTTTTTTTTTTTTTTTTTTTTTTTTTTTAAAAAAAAAAAAAA